AAAATAAACATCTTTAATTGCAAGGCATTCTGAAAGGCCCAGTGGAATCAAAGATCAATAATGTAAAGTATATTCTCTACAGGATCTCTATTCTAAGAATGGATACTTGGCATAGAAATCTCCCAGTAATTATGCATCCTACAAGCATCTAATTGAGAACCTACTCTAAGCAAGATATTTCTAACAAAAAAGACATCATGGTGTCTCACCTTAAGGAACTTCCAGACAGAAAACAGAAAGGAATCCTTCTGAATTCATTTACACTCATGAACACCTTGCAGTTCCAGAAGGTTCCTTCTGATTGTGCACATACATTTAGTAGGTGTGAATAATATACTAACACAGGTCTTCAATTTTCTCTAGTGCCTCTGTCAGAGTAAGCAGAGTCTTAAAATCATCCTGTTATTGAACTCTTGGCAGTTGTTTTATGAGTTTCTGAATTAACAGAGAAACGAGTGGAGAGTAAGAACTGGTATCCTAAGTCGTATGAAAAACAAATATAATTTTGGATAGTCATCAAAAACTCTAGGTGTCTTCATACAGCACATCAAACACACTTTTCTATTTAGCTGCTAATGTAAAAGAAGAAGGAATAACGTTAGCATTCCACAATGAATGTGCAGAGATAAAGCACAGAGCAACAAATTCTTCAGTGACATTAATAAGGTATTTGGTACACTAAGTCTAAACAAAGTTTGTATGAAAAGGAATATTTATAGTAACTTTCTGCTATCTGGCTCAAATGTAATTAACTGACTATATAAAAAGCCATTAGCATTCTCATCTCTCCTCTCCAAACTAAACCAAAACAGATAACATAATTCATTAGCCAGGATTAAAGAGGGGAAAGAAAAGATCATGAAGTTCCCTTGGTATTAGTACAGAAATTTCCCACACTTCCAATATTAAGAAGAGAAAACCAGTTAGAAGAGTTATGCTGGGATGTAAAAAATATTAAATGTCCAAATGAAGTAATCAAGTAAAATATTGTCCATGCTTGAAAGCAAATGCCAGATGATTCAGTTTTAGTGTGACACTTTATAATTTTGATTTTTCAATGTTACCCTTTTAAAAGGAGGTTTGTGAACATCCTCTCCAAAACACAACCCAATCTACCATTTAACCATGCTGTCAAAATCCAGCATCTGCCCAGATCACAGAAACATGGTCCAAATAAGGTTTAAGTTACAAACACGTAAATTAAATAAAAGACATTACACTGTCCTTTTCTTTCATTAAATACAAGAGATAACCTATTTAAACAAAGGTCGTATTTTAAGATGATATATTAGATAATTTTCTAGTAAACAGTATGATATTTAATTTACCTTCCTTACTAATTTTTATACTACTACTTATCAGTTTGTTTGCATAATTATTTTTATATGCATTTCTATTTTATCATATTTATTGTAATAAATACTCTTTACCTTCCTGGAGCTTTTCCCAGTTTGTTTGCCATGTGATTCTTGAATGATTCTTTAGCCACCAACATTTTCTTTCTACCCTCCTTTATTTTTTTTCTCTAAACAGCCATTGAAAGAGAAAAATTCACCGTTTACTACTCTTAGCTTACATTTGTTCTATCTTCCCTAGCCAAAAAAAANGGGGGGAGGAGGAGGAAGAAGAAGAAGGAGGAGAAGGAGGAGAAGGAAGAGGAAGGGGAGGAGGAGAAGGAGAAGAAGAGGAGGAGAAGAACCTGGTAACATAAAGCATCTTAATGCAGAAAATCTTAATTTCTCATCACTCATCTCTTCCTATACCAACAAATCCTTCCTATACCAACATATCAACAATAGCTTATCTTTTAGAAGTTTTAAAATTAGTGTTAACTTAGTTCTGTTTCAAAATCAGTTTAAAAAAATCTATGTTCATTCAGAGGTAGAGATAAAAACATTTTAGAACACACACACACACACACACACATACACACACTCACAGACATGCACTCACACATTTTTGGACTGTGAACCAAATTAAGCAGTGACTGTGTTCATTATTCTCTTTCTAGTATTAAATACAGTATTGGACACCTATCAGGGCTCAAGAAATGTTGAATGTTTAAAGAAATAGTCCAAGAATACTTTTGATTACTTTTTCTTGTTTTAGGAAAAATGAACTGTAGTGAAAGTAAACATTATATACCGGAGCTTTTGTTTATACTTCTGAAATTCATGTATATGTTTTTTGAATATGAAACATTTTAATTAATATGTATTTTCCTACCAAATGGAGAGTGACATATTTTCATCTTTCAAGTCAATGAACTCTAACTGTGCCTATTATTTGTCTAGGATGGAATATAAAGCTTTTAATATTTCATTACTAAAATCAGAAAATGACCCATTAATGAAGTTTAGAGCCTTTTGAAGGCATCCCTGTGGCACAAACTCAGTAGATAGTACTCTAATAGGATGGCTATGCATTTAGAAATGTTGAGGTAATGATTCCATAAACAAGTTATAAATCTCACCTTTTGGGATGTGCAAGCTGTGTAAGGTAGCTGGTCCTTTCTTGCTACCCCAAATATTTCTAAGCAAAATGACAATAAAAGAGTCCAAAACTCTCGACACAAAGGCTTCCTATTATTAATTAACATTTCCTATAATTTATTGCAGAATATTCAAACTTAGTATCTTCTTACCCTTCATTGCTAAGGTACATTGTACCCCTGGCAGAAGATTTATTGATATGTCCCACATTAAAATCGTTCATTTATTTATCTGTCTTTCAAGCTAGATAGTGAGCTCCCACAAGGTGAAGACAATAACTTATTCATTTATATTTCCCCTGTGTCTGGCACGTTATTACTTTGTACTAATAGATGGTCGAAAACACTTACAGAATTAAATTTGCATACCTAAGATGCTTAACAAATCATATATTCAGTTTTTATTGGATGTCACCCATGCTAAGCTTAGATAAAATATGGTCCTTTGGCTAGTAATTTTTCTTTCTTAAAAATCTAGAAATAACAAAGTTGGAAATAAACTGATTCGGATAATTCTTGTATTTCTAGATCCTTGGCTACTTTGAGCTCACTTCTTGTGGCCATACTCATCTTTCAAAATATAGTGCTCTAATTCCAGTGGAATTTGTGTCCTTGTGGGGTTTCCTAGTCTCTGTTACCCTTCCACTGAATTGCAGGGAAGCAGCATGAGCTGATGTGAAGACTCCAGCCTTTGGAGACAGACTGCCTGGCTTCAGATCACAATTCCAGTACTAACTCACTGAGAGATCTAAGGCAAGCTATTTGACCTATCAAAGCTTTGTTCTCCATATTTTTAAAATAGAGAGAGTAGTAGTATGTACTGCATAGGTTATTTTGAGGAATAAATGAGATAGCTCATGAACATCACTTAGCAAATCAGCACAGTGTATGGCATCTAGTAAGTGGCTAATTAAATAATGGTAACAAAAAATATTTGAATTCTTACTATAGTTCTTACAATGAAGTGGTATGCATTAAATATTGCTTAAACAGGCAACTTTTTAATTCCTTCTGAGGTAAGCTTTCATGATTTTATTTAAAACAAATCTCACAAATACAATATAACATAAATACCTTAATGATAAAATATAATTCAAAGTGGAATATAAAGGCAATTATAACTTTTCTTTTTTTCCGATTTATTTTATTGCATTTTAGGTTTTGGGGTACATGTGAAGAACATGCAAGATTGTTGCATAGCAATTATAACTTTTCTTCACTCATGCATATAAGCAAATTGTAGCTAGTATGTTGTTTTAGTTTTATAATTTCCAAAACCGTTTTTTGAACAGTATTGTGATGGTGTTTTCCAAGGATCTGAAAAGCATGAGGTATGAAGCTAGGCTGAACCATTTACTGTCATTTAAAATGTCTTTTTTTTTTTTTTCTGTAAACCATGTCTACAGTAAAAAGCAAAATACTATGTCCTGTTCAGTTTTAAAGAGAATGATTTATATACAATGTAGACCCATTCCTTCTATGTACATTTTAGAAAAGTGGCTGATTATGAGACCAGAAGTAAAACACCAGACTTGGCAAAGTGTAACAGCAAGTAAAGGCATTCAAACAGACAAAATTTCAAAGACAATGTACTTAACTTCTCCTATATATTTATTCATTTAATATTTAAATAACTATTTTAGTGTATTCTTCAGCATAAAACCTTGCCTAATGCTAAGTAAATTTTGGGATTAGGTGAAATTATGATACGATATAGCATAGATGATATACATAATTTTATATAAAATGATCTTTTATTTGATTCTACTTGAATTACAAGGTGATTTTTAAATAAATATTAACTTTATGAAAGACTTCTTTCTGGTTCTGTGATATTATATTAATATCAAATATGCATTTAAACCTAAAGGATGATACAAATAATCTTTTGAGAACTAAAAAGAGCCAAATTGTGGTGCAAAATACACTTAAAAATTGTACCTGTATACGGTAAACACTGAGGAATCAGCTCTGGATTTTTAAATAAAATACTTTTCTAAAAGCACTAATCTTTTGTAAGTAAACATGTATTTGATACCCAGAGGTCAGTGAAGAAAAAAACTATACCTTATAGCAATGAAGTAAATATTGCTGTGAGATAGATGAGCAAACAGCATACATAACCATCACAGTATCTAATTCTGTTAAAATTAGATCAGCAGCATGCTAAAGATTTCTCAACTTTTCTACATAAAAGAGATATAATGCTTTTCTTTCAGTTGGTCTAGAATTACTTTAGTTGTTAAACAGCAGAAAACTTAAATATAGCACATATAACACCCCTTGTAGGTGCAGTCAGCACTGCATAATCATACATTAATATTTCTACAGCAAAGCATGAAATGACCACATCAAGTAGAAATAAATTTAGTCCATAAATAGACTATGTTCAGATTGAGGCATGTTTTCCTGCCAAGTGAGTTGAGACTGAGGGCATTTCATGTAATGACATTTTGATAAACTCACAGGTAAGAAATATCACTCAAAGAAAAACAGAGACTGATCTTACCTTGGCACATAAAACCTCTTTCTTCATAGCCAGCATTGCAGGAACACTTGCCAATGGGTACAAGCCATTCGCCTTCTGTACTGCAGTACATCCTTGGAGGATCTTCCTCCTTAGAATTGTTGACACAAGACCCTCTAACCTCCACCAGGGACTGGGAGTCCATGGGTACCGTGTCTGGAAACATAGCCAGATTCTTCACTGTAAATGGGCACTTTTTGAAGTATACTCTCACAGACACCAAGGCAACACAAGCACCAACATCTTGAAAAGCCAAATAAAATCCCTTCTTGTTGACAGGACCTACTTCTCGAATCTCAGTGTTGAGTTTAAGAATACGATCCCCAAGATCCATTTGAGTGAAACTTTCATCAGCTGCAATGGTGTCAATCTTTGTAAACTGGTGCTCCCGGAATTTCACCCCATGATCATCATCAGACTCCATATAGTACAGGTTGAATGTCTCCTTGCAAGTTCCTAAAACCAATGGAATGCTATTGCAGTCTCGTAGAGTGAACTTGAGCTCCACATAAATCTTCTGAGCTGAGTTCCTGGGGACCCAGTTTGTTCTCAGCCAATTGTTTTGACTATGATCCATGACATTGCACACCTGGTAAGTCCTGATGGGTGTGTAATGTTCATCCACACCACTGATCTCTTCCCACTGAAGAATCAAAGAGAAACAGAGAGTGAGGCAGAATTAATGATCATGATGAATACAAGATAAGGGTGTCGGAGGCATCGCTATATAATAAATCACCATATGGTCAGTAAAAACATTCTTGTTTGTAGTTTTTATTTGTAAGGCTCTCTGAGTTAATGGACACAAAGTAATTTATAATTTTGATGAACACATTCCAATTGCATTGCCACTTGTGGGATAGTCAGGAAACAGTCACTTAGTTAACAGAGCCCAATCAAAGCTTCCAGGATCAAAACCTCACATGAGTTGTCTCCAATGAAACAGTGATATGATTTTCTTGTATGTTTTTTGTTTATTTTTCTTCGTTTAAAAAAGAATTTAAAAATACTACTGCCTAAAATTCGTGCTTACTAATCTTTTTCCAATTTGTGCCAGGTTTTTGGTAAAACTGATATAAGGCAAAATAAGTGAATATAAATGATATTATTACTATGTATAATTATCCATGACATTTTTTAATTTACTGTCGTTTCAATGGACATGGGTTGAAGAACTATGCAATAAAATTTGAAGTAAAAATATAAACGCAACTCACCCCTCAGCACCCCCAAATATAAAACCAAGTCATGGGTGAAAAACAGAAGACATAGAGAACATTCAATTTTTAAAGTCTTTTACACCCACATTGGGCTTTTTCCCAGTCAAGACACAGATCAATATTTGGCGTTTTGTTGTTATAATAGTTGAGGTTATCTTAGTACAACTTTTCTCACTGTAAAAAGCCTTTAAAAGTATTAAGATTTTTAAGAACAGTGAAGCACTATCTTCTGTGACCCTTAGGACAAATTTTGAGAAGCTTTTGTCATTGTACGTTGCGTTACTTACGATCCTAAAACAATTAGACCAGCTGTTTCTGTTATCCCTATCACCGTGTCCACACGTTCTTCTTATCATGCCCGATTTTGCTTACCTACTTCCAGGAAAATACATCTTTTGCCATGTCATTCTTGAATTTAGTCTCCCAGGGCTCTCTGTTACTTATGCAAAAACTTTCAAACTTGAGTTTCACATTTGTGTTCCTCTTAAAACTGGTCCTAAACCACACGTTAACTTTTCTAAAGTGTTTGAAACGAGATAAGTAATGTTTCACTTAGGCATATAGTATATTATTGTCAATGTCAACTCTTTCATTGCTTTCAAAGATGTGTTGGTTTTTCTGTCCTGTATTCCTTTCTTGCGGAATATACCTTACAGTATAGCCCCAACATAGGATTGTGTGTTCTTCTGCCTTATGTCTCCCATAATCCTGACAATCTTAAGAAAATTTCTGTATTATTAACTCTTATTACATGCTCTATTCATTTGTAAATTTAATTCATTTTACATACTAAAGTTAGTTTAATTTTGTTTCACCGGCATTTGCTAAATTTTAGGCAGATCTCTTCATATCCTCCATAGTAGAGCACAAAACTCCACCTTTTGGGATATACACAAAGATTATTTTTATTATAATATATGTAAGAGTAATTCATGGGAATAAAACAATTAAAATGTTTTCCTTGGAGAAAATATTTAAATATTGTAACTAAATATATGAAATAAAATCCTTGTGAAGTACATTATAAATGTGTTCCTACATTTTTCTCAATAAAGGAGTTAATTATTTTCATCAGGAACAATAAATATTAAACACTTGTTATGAAATCAACAGCATTTAAATGTATTAACACTTTTTTATCTTTCTATTGACACTATGATATGATCTTCATGTATGTTTTTTGTTTGTTTAAATAAATAAATAAATAAAACTGCTGCCTAAAATTCATCTGTGTGAGTATCTTCCCAATTTGGGCCATGTGCAGGTTTGTTACATAAGTACATGGCATGAGGTTGAGGTTTGAGGACGATTGACACCTCCACTCAGGTTGTGAGCACAGTACGCAACAGTTTTTCAATGCTTGCTGCCTCCCTCTTTTTCCCCTTGCGTGGTCCCTAATGTTTATTGCTGCCATCTTTACAGTCACAGAAATGTTAATTCACACCTTCTAATCACAAAATAAAATCAAATATTAATGTATTCAATTGTTAGTAATTACAAGCAAAGAAACATGACTTTATTTGGTCTTTAAGCCTACTTAAATTATCAAAAACAATTTATGGACTTTACTGGTGTGACAATCACAGTTTAAAGACTTCTAGTTCTTCATAGCACAGCTACTAACTTACAAGGGAAACAAGTAAAAAACACTACTTATTTTTAAAAACCTTGATCATTCACCATCTAAAATACAAGATAGGCACTCATTTTCTGGAGGAAAAACTGACCTAACTTCATTATCACATCCGAGATTCAACAAAGAATCAAATGGAGACTATTTTAGAAGATCTCAGAAGTAATATACAAGATGCATTCTAATCTCAGCAGAAGGAAAGAAAATATTCACATTGTATTTTTAATAATTTCCAACATGCCATTTGCAAGTATTCACTCTATCTGCATGTTGTATACTGAGTTTTTAAGGAGATAAGAGTACATGAAAGTCTCAGTTCTTAGGGTTTTACATTGAGGTGCCTATAATAATGCAGTCACATTCAAAGCAAAATTAATGTGTATGTTTGATATAAAAAATAAAAAAACAGTCAACAGACTTGGTGCTCCAAAAATCTCTGGTGTTAAAAGTTAATGTTTTGTAGAGTCTTCTCTAGCATCATTACCTTGGTTCTACAATGGCATTTTAAAGCAGAGACCTAGCAAAAACTCTAGAGAAAAAAATGCTTCTGTAACCATCTTACAGAAATTCTGTTCCATCATTACAAAATTATGTGAACATAAAACAATTGATTTTAAATTTCTTAAGTTTTCCTTTTAAGAATAAATGAGAATGTTTCTTTGATGAATGATTTGCAAATTTATTCTGCAATGAACAGCATTTTACTCGACATCAAACAGAACATATTATGTAGAGATTTTCATAATTTGATGTAAAATATGATTTTAATTATGGAGATCTCAGTGCAGTTTAACATTTGGCAAGCTACCACAAGTCCTTGAACACAGAGGTATACATTGCAAGAAGATAATGCAAACAGCACCAGCATTTTTTTGCACATGAAATGTTGCAAAGAGCAATTATCACTTCATTAATTTGTAATGAAGGCAAATTGGTTGTAAGGGATGGTGACTTGCCATCTCAGACCACTTGTGAAAACAAGTCTGCAACTCCAGCATTTGCTGAGGACTGAAGACAGTAGAAATAAAATCCTTAAATGTGTATTTTCTCATAGCAGCAGGCACGAGAAAAAAATAAATGATTAAAACTGCTGCTTTAATGCTCATGCTTTGTAAATGTAAAAAATGCCCATGTTTCGTCCATTTTTCTACTGTAAGAACTACCGTATAATGTTCATCATGCATTATCCTTATATATTATCGAGGTTCTATTCTTCTATAGTAATTGTCTCAAGGCAGAGATGAAAAAACACAGGAGAGACTTAGCATTGGTAACATGGAATTTAGTGGTGAAAAGCATCTTCCTCCTCATTCTCCTCATCCTTACAAGTGATCTCTGGTATCCATCAGGGACAGCTTCAGTGAAAGGGGATACAAACTAGAGAGGAGCTCAAAATACCTTTTCAAGCTCTAACTGTTTACTTTTTAAAAACTGGTTTATTATACTTTAAGTTCTGGGGTACGTGTGCAGATTGTGCAGGTTTGTTACATAGGTATACACGTGCCCTGGTGGTGGTTGGTCGCATCCATTGCCCCATCATCTACATTAGGTACTTCTCCTAATGCTATTCTTTCCCAATCCCCCCATCACCTGCTACGCCTCCCCTAGCCTGCTAGCCCCCCAACAGGCCCCTGTGTGTTGTGTGATGTTCCCCTCCCTGTGTCCATGTGTTCTCATTGTTCAACACCTACTTATGAATGAGAGCATGCTGTGTTTGGTTTTCTGTTCTTGGGTCAGTTTGCTGAGAATGATGGTTTCCAGCCTCATCTATGTCTCTGCAGGGACATGAACTCATCCTTTTATTGGCTGCATAGTATTCCATGGTGTATCTGTGCCACATTTTCCTTATCCAATCTATCACTGATGGGCATTTGGGTTGGTTCCAAGTCTGCTATTGTAAACAGTGCCACAATAAACATGTGTGCATGTGTCTTTATAATAGAATGATTTATAATCCTTTGGCTATATACCCAGTAATGGAATTGCTGGGTCAAATGGTATTTTTATTCCTAGATCCATGAGGAATTGTCACACTGTCTTCCACAATGGTTGAACTAAATTACACTCCCACCAACAGTATAAAATTGTTCCTGTTTCTCCAAATCCTCTCCAGCATTTGTTGTCTCCGGATGTTTTAATGATCGCCATTCTAACTGGTGTGAGATGGTATCTCAATGTGGTTTTGATTTGCATTTCTCTAATTACCAGAGATAATGAGCATTTTTTTCATTTTTGTTGGCTGCATAAATGTCTTTTTTTGACAAGTGTCTTTTCATATCCTTTGCCCACTTTTTGATGGGGTTGTGTGATTTTTCCTTGTAAATTTGTTTTAATTCTTTGTAGATTCTGGATATTAGCCCTTTGTCAGATGGGTAGTTTGCAAAAATTTTTCCCATTATGCTTGTATCTGTTTCACTCTATAGATAGTTTCTTTTGCTATGCAGAAGATCTTAAGTTTAATTAGATCCTATTTGTCTAACTCTTTAAAATCAACAATTCTGATATTTAGCCTAGCTTCCAGATTTTGATCTAAACTTTTATTATTAGACCACATAGGCCAAGAATGGGTTCCTTGATTTTGTCATATTTTTCCAGATCACTTAAACTATAAGAAACCCAAGCATCCAAACGTTCTCTCCTGGAGAGTCCATTCTGAACAGAACCACACCAAACCTCTCTACCATCAAAGGTAGTATGAGATACTAAGGAGGCTCTTGGTTTATATTTTCTAGATAACACAGTTTCTTGTCACTGAATCAAACATATATTTTTGAGGGAATCATATATTTT